GTAGCTGAAGCATCTGGAAATGTTAATAGCCGATGTCTCATTTCATTGCATCTGCCTATTTATGCATCACACTAAATTGCTCGACTTTCTTTTTTTATCGGGATCCCCAGGCTCGTCATCATGATCCGCATGTTGCAGGAAGTAACGGCATTACCATAAATTACATATCGAGATTTTGTCGGTGTCCATCTTTTGAGTCTATGACTCGTGTTTGGTGAAGCAGATGCACTTTAATACTTGTCGACTCCAGACCATCCGTGATATGAGATAGGGGATTGTTGCTTCACCAACAGGTATTTTCGATATTACTAATAGATTAACCTTCGACTTTTTATTAAAAAAAGGTCATTAGCTAATAACTTATACCTGACCGCGTGCGTCATTGTTCTGTACAAGTCATTCCTGGAATAACATTATTGTTAATCATACATTGGTGTTGTTGCGGAAGAGAAGCTTGTAAGCTTAGACTACAAAAATGTAATACGCTTGTGGTACTTGGCGTTGTAGTAAAAATAGGCTGCAGCTTGTCAGGTCCATCGTCTTTGCCAAGGAAGAAATAGAAATTGGCGTCCGAAGAGGATGATAGCAGATCCCATTGTGTCGGTTGGTACAAGTAAATAATATATAATTTCACTTCCTGTGCTTTTTGTGTCCCATAATGTCGCTGTGCAATTTTTGTGTCTCATTATGTCGCTGTGCAATTGTCCTGTCGATAGACCTGCTGTTTAAAAATTCTACAGAATGCCTTTGGTCAAACATGGGATGGTTTGATCGGGACAGAAAAAATGTACCAATCTTTTTATGCAAACGACATATGACAGAGCATTCTCGGCAACGTCCTTCAGCAATGCCCTTTTATAAGATCAAGTAAATTTATTCATGGTACCCATAAATATCTATAAAGCCGCATTCAACATGAAGTCAGATAGCGCGGAGCTTGTGACGATGTTTGAAATTTTGCAGCCCTTTGCATAAGTTAGCAATGTAACCCTGTGTATTACTAAGCAATTGAGCGAGTCACTGGGACTTTACTTCTATGTAGTATTTAGTTACAATCACTCCGCGGTGTTGACGCTACTAAATCACATAGTACACAGATACTACAAGTGATAGATGTTGGACTAACATCTATTCCTTTTCATTCACACTGATCGGATCAATGGTCTCCAGATAAGCTCGTTGTTATTGATTGTTGCTGATTTATGCCTGTGACAACTTCTTAGACAGGCCAAACTCCTTCGGTGTCCATTTAGCAAGTGCTATCTGATATTGCCTAAATTTTCATTCTTTTCTTGCATATAAGTGAACGCTGTACATTCGTAAGCCGAATTTGTTACCATCTCAGCTGTCCTGATAGTACGTCAATAGCACCGACCTCGGTGGCCGAGAGGAAGGCACTGGCACCAAGAACGGGATGTATGTAATTCGATACCCGCTAGGGGCGGAACAATTAAATATCACCGGAGGGTGACCAACAAAGCCGATTTTAGTAGGTTCTACTCGAACGCGAATATACCTTATACAATTCTCATTCTCTAGTAGTCCAAGAGGCAACACACTACTTAACAGATAAAATTTGCATGTGAACAACATTCAAAATCTTTAAGCACAGGGAAAAGTCGCAGGCGTTTCTCGCTCCTTTGCGCACGTGCCAAAATATTCATGAAGTTAGGGATAAGTATCGCTTCCAGCGCTCTGACCCTAAAGATAAATATTTGGTTTATTCTGCAAGGAAGTAAGGCCGGTGTGGTTGTGTTGTCCGCTATTTTTTCACGCTATTTTTTCTATATGTACAAGCTACAACATCCGATAAATAATTAATTTCTATGAAGTTGTAGAACTTGTCGGTAGTGTAGATACCTTTCAGTGAATACCTACATACAAAAACAAAGATTATTTTTGAAGCTGAAAGGCGGATCGTAGTACCCCCATCGTAGCTACTATAAGTACCACCACTTACATGCCAAAGTAGACATTAAAATGAGTGAGAAGCAGAGACATATAGGTACGCGAATGCACACATAGCAGGATAATCACATATACTTATTGAACTAATTTACAGACTGTCGACGCAATTTCGACTTACTATCAACATTTGGTGCAATCCTGATACTGTAGGACCCCCACCCCCTTTCCATGTGGGTTAGTGGTGTATAATAAGCTGCAGTACCACAGTAAATCGAATGTAGTTCGTTATCGCTGACTGAGCTCCGGCGCATACCTTTGGAAACGTAGGTTGCAATCTCCTTAGATAAGAAATCTGGTATGCCAGTACCGTCTGCTCCACAAGGTGACACTGCATGTGTTCTTCTGACACACACCCAACCGATAATCAGTCCGCTTCTCTTTCTTCTTCACTAAAACGACTTGCTGCTTATTTCCTTTTGGCCGAACTGAGCAATACGGATTTTACATGCGGTCACAGCTAGTCTTCCAGCAGCCACGTCACTTTACTATCTTGTTGCTTTTGCCCCGTGATCCGTTTGCCGGCCTTGTCCGGTGCACGGCATCATTCATGGTTCCACTGCTTCGACTCGGTTGCATATTGCAACAACCTAAGGCTTGACGATGCTACGATTCTGCTTCTACCACCGAAACAGACACCCACAAATTGCACGATGGAGACCAGATTACTTCCATTTGCATTGTAATGGTGCTATCGCCACTATCACCTGCAAATTACGACCGATTGGGATGGGCGTGGGTAGATTATCAGGATCCGCAAGTCGACCGCCTGACTGCCACGCACTGAATGTTATATGCATGGTAGAAGATACTGTCGCCCGTTGCCATTGTCGATGGCTACATCCATGCGGATATGAATGCTGAGGTTGTTGTTTATCAACTTGGCATGGACGCGGAAAGGAACCACGATAATTCGGATGAGATTGGTGAGACGAGAAGATTGCGTAGGTGCGAAATCTAAGGACAAAACAGTTGCGCTATGCGGTACCGTGTTGGACATGAGTTCATTTGGGTACGCAAGGGAAATTAAGAGTGTGCAGCCTAAAGCCGACCAAAGACGAGACCCGGAAGAGATATTAAAAGTGCGCAGTCCAAAGCTTACTGAAGACGATCTCTGCAAGAGGCTGGTCGTCAGATTATGAGGATTATAGCGGTGGACTATTGAGATGTGGCACTCCAACAATACCGGTCGTTAGGATTGAAACGATCAATGTTCTGCATGATGCATGTGTCTTGCCCAATGTACCCTAGGAAAGTCAACCTGCTACTTGTAGGGTTCTCCGCGCGATTCACTGCTATATGTGCTATGCACTAGCCCCGGATCCACCCTTGACAAGTGGTATGAATGGGTTCTTTTCCTACAAAACATACTGTCGATGACAACAGTGCTTGATACGCATCCTGCTACGCTGAAACGAGTCCAGTTAGAAACAGGTCCAAGTTGCTGTATTTTATTGCCCGTATCGTTGCAGCTTACAGCTTGCACACAAGCGACCATAAAACGAGCCTCATGAACACCAGGAACAAAGTTTATTGAATGTTATGCCTTACTGGTAAACACCTTACCAGATGTAACGCGGGTCGTTCCGTTCGCGCTGCTTCCGTCTCACCGGGTCAGGGTATATGCGTCTCACTCTTACTACATCGCAATACCGCCACCTCTTGACTATATTCTCATATAGAACGAGGTACCTGCAAGTTCATAGTCGACAGCGCGCGTCCCGTAGTCGATTGGAATCTCAGTCGACACAACATTCGATAGAAGTACAGACTGACCAGTTTTTATAGTAGCTCATGCTAATACATACCAGCTGGCCAGTACGTTCTGGTGTATAATTGTTGTCCGGCTTAGTGGGGGCGCTTCTACCCGTGACAGTGCATTGGAACATCACAACGTTACTTTATGATATCGTCCATTACTAAGCACGTCATGCTTTGTGCAGTACAGATATAAAAGTGGGTGTACTTTTCATGACGAAGAGTTGTAATGTTATTCATTAAGCTCTTGTATCGCGATCAGCGCAGAGTGTTGCAATACGTTTGGTCATCGTTGTAGTAAGCATACGCTACTCGCAGAATAATTCAGATCAAGCAAAGCGTGTTGCATTTCTAATTCCTGTGTGTTTACTTCCAGCGGCAGCACCCTCTTGCAAGCAACAGCGCAGCATTCGTCTCATTACATGAGCGTGCGCTTTTGCATTAAGCATCGCAGTGCAATCAATGTGCGCAAAAGATGAAGACATAGCTGCCTCCTTCACCAGAACGTAGCGCCTCCATGTTCATCCTAGCGCGTCGCGTATCGTCTTACTACACCTCAGAAATGGAATCGCCTCATGCGACATGCACTTCCTTCAGCTGTGCTCATTGCGGCTACAGTTTCTCGTTTTCAACGTCTAGAAATGGACCGGACAACGCTCGATCGATGCTGACTCCTCACGTGCAGAGGCAGTTCTGTACTTGTGCGTGCTCTCTACCGATTCAAGACAGCGCGAGGCGCTCCGGCCATGCGTTGGACGCTGCATTCCACAGCACGACAGGCGCGCGTGTCACAGCCGCAAGTGTAAAGACGACTCGGCTTTCTCCAAATGTCCCGGAAACAGACATGCTGCAGCCTTTTGCAACGTTAGCCCGGGCACGAGAAACAAGCCAGCGACGTTGACAGGCCAGTTAGCCACACGCAGCTGAACGTGTCCCTTGCGCTGCAAAAGCAGCGGTAGGTCCTCCCCACCGCACATCGCCAATCGGTCGCGTGAGCAGTCGCGTGTTTACGTAAAGCCCAACACGTACGTGGCTGTTCCACCCTCTGAACTGCGAACAGCTCTGCGGGAGAGACGCTGTCGGCCCGAGTTTCGAATGCCGCGTTCGGCTCCTCCTGACCGTGTGGTCGACCGGCAGTGGCACGAACTGCTTGCGGCAAACTCTCTGCCTCGCAGTCAGGTCCGCCTCCAGAACGAGCCTTCGACTGCCGTCCAGACAAGAAAAAGGTCGGGAAAACGCGCCTCGAAACGGCGCAACCCATTTCGTTTCTTTTGGCAATGGACAACGACGACGACGACGCCGTCTCCGTCGCCAGCGCAGGCGCGTCGGAGCCGGCAGTCCCTCAGTCGGCGCCGAGTTCCATGGACCACGTGGTGGCGATTCCGAACGCCCAGAAGGTCCTGACGTTCCTGCACGCGGTCTTTGGTCTCTGCCAGCAAGTTCGGGACCGGCCGCGCGCCTGTCTGCACGCGCACGCGCGACTGCACCAGACGTTCCTCCGCATCGCCCACGTCGCGAAACTCGGGTCCCTGCGCTCGAGCTTCCGCTTCCAGCACTACCTCAAGATCCTGGACGAGTTCAAAGCCGTGTTGCATCAGCACCTGAAGCTCTCGAACCTCGTGGCAAAAGCGACGGCGAGTCGCCAACTGCTCTCGGGCTTAGCCAAAGTGCACTCGGAGCTGAACGCACTGCTGGTGGAGAACGCACTGACGAGTGCGACGAGCCCGTTGCTCGAGTGGAAACACCAGTTTGCGGCCAATCGGCGACAGGATGAAGCGGTACTGCACGAGACGCTCGTGGCGTTGCTCTCGACGGCGGCGTTTGTGCGCAAGGAACTGCCCAGTGACCGACATCAGGCGCTCGTGCTGCTGGAGCTGCTGGCAGAAGTGGCACCACATGAGTCGCCACGAGGACACTCGTCGCAGCTGCTGGAGACGCTCAAGATGGCGCATCGACGGATTTCCACGCTGTGCGACTTGTCGCTCACTCGCGTACCCAAGTGGTTCGTACCAGGCTACGAAGTGAACTTTTCAAGGACCGACCACACTATCGGGTACGCAAGAGGATCCTTTGGCTCGACGCTTCAGCGCGGTGAGGCGTTTCGCTACACTTATAGCAGTGAACGAGCTCTATCGAGTGCGACCTCCACGGTGGCGGTCAAGTGTCTATGGGCACTGCCCGACGTCCACTATCAGTATTTGGAACAGCTTTTTGAACGCGGTGGAGTGTCAAAGTGGACTCGAGTGCGGCATCCGAATGTAGTGACGATCCGAGGAGCTTCCCATGCTGTGACGCCGCCATACTTGGTGCGAGACTTCACCACTTATGGTGGACTCACGACATACCTTGAGGCGTTGGGAATGCGGGCAAAGGAATGTGCGGGGTCTGAGAGCTGCGGGAAACTGGAGACACTGACATGGCAATTACTCTATGGGGCCAGTCGTGGATTGCTGCACCTTCATGAGCAACACAATATCGTTCACGGTGGATTGCGCTGCAACAACATTCTCGTTGATAAGAAAGGCCGGGCTGTAATTGCCGACTACGGGCTGTACACGCTGGCGTGCGACGCTCGGGACTCGGGACTCATAGAGCATTTTCAATTGGACGTTTTAGATACGGACGTGGGAGAGCTTATTCGATGGCAAGCGCCGGAGTGTCTGGGAGAGCACATGGCATATCGAGAGTCACTTCGATCCCTTTCGAACACAGGGTCGGCACTCGTATCGTCAAGCAGTGTTAGTGCGTCTGCTACTGCATTCGCCACGGATGTGTTTGCTTTCGGAATGTGCATTCTGGAAGCTTTGACTCATGCAGTGCCTTGGGCGGGGATCGACATTGCGAAGGTTCGCACACTGAAAGAGAATAAGAGTCCGCTCCCACCTCGACCAAGGCAAATTTCATCTCAGGCGTGGAGTCTGATTGAGAAGATGTGCGCAGCCGATCCATTGAAACGCATATCCTTGAGTGAAGCGTCGCAAGAGCTCAAGCGACTTGGATATGGAAACCGCGTGTCAAACCATTCACACAGTAACAGCTCGAAGCGTTTGGCAATATCTGAGGCCAGTGCAAGCGCAAAAGTGGACCATGTGTTGAACTCGCTGGATGAAGTCTCGCGAGAACTCATACATCTCAGCAGCAGTACGAAGGACTTGAGGTCGCTCGAAACAGACGCAATTGCCGAAGTTGAGCATGTCTTTACGTCATTGGAAGAAGCCTCGGAAGAGCTTCAGAACATACAGATTCGTGCTAGCAACGGGCTGGCTACAGATATGGGGGAGCTGGAAGACGAAGCATCACAGAAATTAGTCCGTGTGCTAAGTCGATTGAATATTGCGTCTCAAGAGCTAAAGCGACTGGGTATGGGCGACAAAGCGACGAGTGGGTCGCAGAACAGTGCTCTGCATCTGGTACAAGAAGCACGCGAGAATTTGGTCCGACTAGCTAGTGACAAAGCCAGCAGCATCGTTGCGCAACAACGAGAAATCTTGTTCTCGAATTCGGATCAGGGTCAAATGGCTGACGATGGGTCAGTAGTGTACTCTGCAGCAACACGTCGAAGGCTGCCACTTCTTCCAGTCAACATTGTGGACGAGACAGTCGCTATCGAGTCGGACGAACAGCTTGACCATCACCTTGGCGACATTGTGGCTTCTCGCGATTGTTTAGCGGTAGATGGGACAGGGCCTCCATACAAGGGCTCCGTTCCTGCGTGCGGACGGTATTCTTCCAATATACCTGATGCGAGAAGTGGAATGGATGAAGGAAGTTTACTGGAACCGGCTGCAAAGGAAAGTGCAAACGCCTGGGATTCGCCCCAAGAATGGGGGATAAATGTCGCTCGTTCTCACGATATAGTGCGCTCTCGGCGTGAAGCACAATTGGATAAGCAGAATGACGTTGGTGGTCGAAACGGTCACGAATTGACTGCTAAGGATGATCGCACTGAGATGACATCTGTTACCGATGTCGACAACTACCAGCTCGCGCATGAACAACCCGAGCAAGAAATGGATAACGATATTGAACGCGTAAAAATTATGGTTGTCGATGACGATTGCCCAGGATTGTTGAGTTGCGACGAGGGAGATGAAGTGTCAGAGGGTCTGACTAGTGGTGAAAGCTCGATGGATGAAGAAATGCTTATGATAGTTCCTGCCGAGTTTCAGACTGCTCGCAGTTTTGATGAGGGCGATCTCGCGTCACCATTACACCCAGTAGTTGGTCTTCTTGAAAGTCTCAGGATGGAGCAGCCAGACAACGACCGTTTTGTTGAAACGCTGGAGGCGATGAAGGAGGCCCTAGAGGTGTCAACTGCACGGATTATTGTGGAGCGCGAGGGTTTGCTCACCTTGATGGAACTTGTGTGGAGAGATTACTCTGAAGCTTGCACAAGGCACGCGTTGGAGTTGTTGCAGTCAATTGCTGGCCTTGGTCCCGAATTTGTGACAACTTTGGTGGAGTCAAAAGTCGTGAAGATCTTGCTTGCCGTTGTCAAACACCGATCGTCCCCTCAGCAAGTCGACTTGGCTGCATCGTTACTTCTTGACATAATTGCCGAGGACGATGATGCAAAGAGGCAGTTATGGACGTATCGCGGTGTCGGAGTGATGGAAGACGCATGTGTAATCAACAAACGACTCGTTCAAGAAGTGAAGTCTACGATGGCTAAGTTTAAGCGAAACGAAGGCATGAGGTGTCTTGAGGACGGCGAATTCCACTTGGCGATCGATAAGTTTACTGAAGCGATCTCTTTGGATCGCAAGCGTGCGATATACTATGGCGACCGAAGGTATGTAGCCACATTGCGATGACGCGTTTGTATGACTAGTACCTTTGAGCTAATGTGTATTTTAGTTTGGCGTATATGGAGGCATCGATGTTCAAGAAAGCAGCGGACGACGCTTACCGCTGCAAGCGCTACAATCCGTACGATGTGATGGGATACCTACGACATGGTTTGGCGCTTAGGGCCATGGGAAAGTATAAAGAGGCGATGGAAACGCTTCGGAAGGGGACAGAGGTTGATCCTAAGTTTGTCAAAATATTTGACGCACTCACTGAGACCAAGCAGCTGTACAAAGCTCGGACGAAGGGGGTAACCGACGGCATTACGTTACGCCGCATGACAGCCGCGGAATCAGCAAAACTGAAGAAGAGAGATGGCGATGATGCTCTTCGGAAGAAGGATTATGCGTTTGCAATTGAGTGCTACTCTGAAGCGCTCGAGCTTGATCCAAAAAACGACTGGGTGTATTTGCATCGAAGCATTGCCTATGCTGCTCAAAAGGATCACGTCAAGGCGGCCGAAGATGCGTCTAAGTGCATCCGGCTTAATTACCATCAGGTCGAAGGATACTACCGTCTCGCACTGGCTTTACACGCAGCCGGTCAGCATGATCAGGCGTTGAGTACACTTTATCGTGGTCAGGAGGTGAATGCGCAGCACGTGGGCATCTCTCGCTTTATTGTTCAACTTGAAGGAGAGGAGGCGAAAAAAGCGGGGCTATCTTTGCCTGTGTGGTTCAAGGAAAAGGGATTCCGAGCGTTTCAGCTGCGCTCGTACGAGGATGCTATCAAGTTCTACACCAAGGCGATAGATGCTTCGTTATCCGACGACGATGAGGTTGTCATGCACTGCTACTCGTACCGATCCCGTGCTAGCCAGACGCGGGGTGATTTTCCAGCTGTTGTTGCTGATTGCACGTACGTGCTGGATCGTTTTCCGGAGAACGTTTTTGCTCGACTTCGACGGGCAGATGCGTACGAGCAACAGCGTGACTTTCTTATGGCTCTCAAGGATATTCGCGAGCTGATAGCGATAAACCCGGATTATGAAGATGCTCACGCTCGACTTCAATCCCTTAAGCATAAATGCCGACTTTTGCCTGGTGCATCCCAACACACGAGTGTTGGAATTGGTTTGTGAGTTGACACAAACACTCGTAAGTATGTGCGATTCGAGCGACATTCACTCGGTGGGTTAGGCGTTGCGCACAGCGAAACAGAGGTCATCATTGTGACTGGGCCTACTAATAGGACTTAACGAAAAGAACATTCGGGTCGCTTCAGCGAGCAGCGAATGATTTAGGTGGGTTTTGCGTTGCTGTTGCGTAGATATGTTGCTGGGGCAGGCAACGAGTGAATGATGATACCGGGCGCAGAAAAGATCGACGCAAACCCGAGGCTTTTGGTCTATATTGCGAGTCAACATGATCGAAAGAAATTAGACTGGCATGTCGCGCACCCGGCATATGTCCGCGAACGGCTCCACAACGATAAATTGGTGCGCAAGGCAAATAGCCGTAGGTTGCTCGGTACTTTCGTGCGTGGTAAGTGCATGTATCTAGCAGGGTAGAGATCTGCAACATTTTTTGCAGTGTTTGCATGATGATAGAAACCTCTCTGATACTCAGCCATACCTATGAGCTTTACAAAGCAACCATAATCCGTACAGTCTGCCTGCATAGTGATACTACAACTCCGGCTTTTTGCATGTGCGCGACACAACGTTGTCAAGAAGAATTTGTCATGGAGGTCTTGTCAGCGACTGCACATCAACGATTGTTAGGACAAGACTTTGGTATGTAACGAGGCAAAGAAAATAAGATAACTGACATGATAAGGCGCACTAATATCGTCATGATGCGCAAAGCAATAAGGCTGTCACACACAACGCAGAGGTTCGTTGGCTCCATTGGTGAGCCTTAAGTCTGACTTGTGTGTGTGTTTTCTAGCTTGGCACATGTTGCACTGATCGAAGGTGACGATAATGTTTCGTCGGGTCTTTGGTAAGACACAAGAAAGGTGGAACATGACAATTTCATCTTTTACCGCTGCACAGACATGTCATTTGGATGATCATTACATTCACACTAACTTCGGACAAACTCGTACGACAAACTACCACGACATGTAAAGCCAATGCGTCGGGCCCATTCCACATTGCGTAGACAAAGCCCAGGTCCAATGCATAAGGTCTGAAGCTAAATGAAACATTAGCTCAAAGCAGCTCGCACTAAACGCGATGTACGCGCTTTTATCATCTTGGCAAGTTGCCCAGCGCCTCGCGTTATCACACAAGCAGAAGTGACTTCAGTCGTCGGATGCGCGACCCGATGATGCAAGACGGAATTTGTGACACCGACATAGCTCCACCTAGTGACCCGCCCTTTGTCTCACAAGCGGGTTTCGGTATCGCAACAGGGTACCAGACACGATCCAGAATTGAAAGAGTCAAGATTTGCTCAGCACTCAATCGATAAAAATACAATTTGTGCACAACTTACGAATACGGGCTTTCACTTAGACTGTCATTTTCTACCACGTGTGTCCCTCTGACAGCATAGGAAAGAGGGCGTCACCCCCAGTCACATGATAGAGTGCAAACGCAACGATACGGGACCGTGAACGCGGTCGCAGCTGGTTTTCTTCAATTCTGCACCATGCTGCACATTATCACCACTAAGTCTTGTGCGAGCAAGCATTCTAAGCGTTGGGCTTTGCCCACTCCAGGATACATACTTTAACGATACATGTGATGATGGTCACGGGGACAGCGGAGTGAAGCCTGTAGTCGTATCTACAAGTACGCACAGTGCGTCCTCTGAATGCGGGACTGTTACTAATTCAGAGGCACCGTTTGATACCAGATCAAGGATATGCTCGCATTTTGCGCAACGCCGGTAACGGACGACATCGTCGGCACGTTGATGAGATGTCTAGCCGCAAAGCCTTTGACTCTCGTCTACGTGTATCGTAACCTTGCAATACCTTCTTTGTCGCGCATGATATGGCGGACGCCCACATCATACACCTTCGCGTCGTTGGTCATGCAGACAAGCGTTTCGGTTGTAGAAGAGGCCGTTCGGACACATCTTCCAAAACATTGTTCTTCAGGTGCGACAACGATGCGAGTCGATTTTTGGGCAAAAGGTGGACTCTCGAATGCATTTGAACAAGATAGGAGAGGGCAGGTCTAGCTTCCATTTCATCTTCGACCCTTCGAAAACTAGTGAGTGTCATTGCTGATGACAAGACTGTCTTCCATTTTTTTCAGCATCGTATCAATAGTGTACTGCTCTGCGGCATGTCCATCCGCTTTTCCTCAGCAAACGACAAGCGTGACAACAAGTAGCACTGAACAATAACTTGTCCTTGTTCGATATGATTGGTCGCACGCATGGATCATGCTTCTTCGTTGCATCTTTATATAGTCCACGTATAGGCGACGAGTGTAACACTACGTCGGTTGTCTCCGCCCTGCTGCGCCACTCACGTCTGCTAACGACACACTCGCTCCTACTGGTCTGCTTGCGCGAGCTGCGATGCAAATAGGTGACAACAGCTTTTTCAAACGTACTCTACTCAGCTGCATCAACGAGGCCACTCGATCTAAGCCATTTCCGCAGACCTGGCGTCACAAGGTTACTTTAACAACGGTATCGCCATAAGACCTACTTTATCGTCGTTAGATCATATCTCGTCCACGTATGATGCGGCTTGTGGTCGGCTGTAATTTCCACCCGATCAGTACAGCGTTACTCTAAGAAGAGAGCGAAGTGAATGGGTAAGGTTTCAGGTCGAGAAGTGGAACGGTGCTGAGCTTTTTGCGCTTGTTGCGACAGTCTCTGGACATCGAGCGATGAAGTTGTTGTTAATATTAGCCTTCACTTGTATTTCTATCAATGCGCCCAACTGATATGACAAGAACTAGATAATAGACGGCTCTTTAACGTGTGTTGCATGGCCCGTGGATATGTCACACTGGCTGGTCGTGTCGAAGTCCTCATTTGACGTTTGACTTGTCAAAGAGGGGATCCGTTCCACATGACAAAAACACCAGTGAAAAGCGTTACACTTACACTCACACCCACTCACACACGACGGTGCTTTCGTCGTACGTAGCTTGCATAGGTTGACTTCCGTCTGCCATCACCACAGTAGTCACACATACTGTTTTCGACAAAATCAATCCATGAGCTGCGAGACCGCGTTGTCTACCCTCAAGACTTCTCGTACCGGTAGATCATGTCTCGCAACCTGCAATTGAGAGACAAATTGACAATGAGCATTAACCCCGAGTGACGTACTTGCGTTGACGTCACTTATACACACGCGACTGAACCAAGATAACAAGGCTAGAGCTATGTCGGACCGGGACACGGTTGAAAAGCAACATTCATGTTGTGCGCTTCGGCTTCTACGACTCTGGTGCTCGAAAATTGGCATGGTACGCTCGAAAGAAGTCTACGACACCCTCTACGAACTGATCATCCTCACTCCCTTTAACAAAACCTGGATGGTCGGTAAGTATTTTACGGAGAGCCTCAGGACTTTCGAACTCCTTCAACCACATCAACATCTGCGCAATTTGAAGATTCTTCGCTGCATCTTCTGGCATCTCATCCGATGGTGGCGCCTCAAACAGCAATTTTGCCGTTTTGAGCACGCCATGCTTTTCTTGAAGAATGCCAACGGCCTTCATGTCTTCTGCAAGATTCTGCGCCTCATCCACAACCGAGTTTGGCAAAACAGGATCCGCAAGCATTTCACGCCTCCTGACCGTTGCCATATGTATTGCATTGTCGACAAACTGCAGCAGATTGTGGAGGCGTTCTAACATTTGACGAATGATGCCGCCTTCTCCGAAAATCTCGGACAGCGCTCGATCTTCATGGTCGCCAAGGTCGGGTGTGTGCGTCCTCAGGAGTCTACTGACCATCTCGTACTGGAGCTTGTGAGCGCCAAGAATCGCGGCCTCTGATTTCCTCGGCTCCGGTGCGGTATTAGCGATGGCAAGCAGCGCACAACTCGCAAATGGCGCAACGAGATAGAAAACCCTCATAGTCTGACTTTATGATGGCAAGAAGCAGCACAGGGCCAAGGCACGCGAAACAAAATGTGCATGAAACTTCGCAGGTGAAGAGCGACGTGAACTCGAAATACTCTGTGCTTTGGTTGCAGAATGAGAGTGCAGATTGTCAGACGCTGACCAGACGGCATCCAGACCAGTCGGCGAAATCGTCCACGAATGGTGGGACGGGTTAAACATCCTTAACTGAAAGACTACCTGTCCCCAAGTCTATCCCCAACTACACAAAGACATATATTCAGTTATTTTTGGGTCGTAAGTTGTGCTCGTCTTGACAGATGGCAAAACGACAGCGGTACATAGCACCGAGTTATACGCTAAGAGAATCTCAAAGAACACAATTAAGCTTTTAGGAAAATCACGACCCTACCTGGGTCCCCGCCGTTTCGAGAGGAGGCGAATGAGCCCATAAAGTCGAGCCTTACATGCAATGTGTCACCTCTAGCCGCAATTGCATTCCTATGAATGTACGCGGACCTACGTAAACGAAACCATCGGAATAAGGTAGGACCGTGATCCGCCTACGGCATACAAATTGAGGCTCTGACAAGTAGCTAATCATTTCTTCTGCAACTTCAGGGCGATATGTAAAAGTTGACGAGCTGTCCTGCGACTGAGCACACTTTCTGGCAGAACAAGATGTAAATAGCATTGGTTTTGCATACTAGTGCTTCACCTATGTCCTTGATGTACAGGGGTCAGTGGACAACGCCAGGATCTAGAAGGAGCTCACAAGACAAGAATTAAAGGGATGTGACTGACTGTTTTGCTCAGCATGACAGTCTTGTGATTCTTTTCCGACGCGCATGTCGTTACAAACGATGACAGTATGCAGCTACGATCTAATGGTGGGCATATATGTATCGTGAATGAAAGGATGACTGGATAATTAGTGTGGATACGCGTCGCTCTCAAGCTGCTGATAAGCCTACGTCATGAAGAGTGCTAGGTTGCAAAGGTACGTAAGTGACCCTATTTTTAAATATTTTTATATGCGTAAGCGCTCCGGGGTCAATGGTTTGCAGTGGACTGGCGAATACGTCTACAACCAGCAGATGCTTAGGTAACGAAGCCACGGTTGTTACCGCAGCTGTCTACTAATATCTAACGGATACTCGGCGCATGTAAATATATATTACAGAGTCACTTATCCGTCAAATGAATTGTCCATCCTCGAGCTTATATAGATACTGATAGCTCGAGCTTTGGCAGACGAAGGCACCGCGGAACGCACTCAGTGAAATGCAACTACAACATTTAGCGGGTCCGGATCACGCGTGTCGAAGCTATTGCAATAAAGATAAAATGAGGTTAAACTTATACTGAGATCAGCTGCGTGCTCACACCTTGTCTTAATACCTCAAACGTATCTAGTGCATGTAAACTTTCTAATTAGCGATTTTCCATTTTTCCTATACAAGGTGCATTATTACATGTATAATAAATTAGCTCAAGGACATACGTGTCATCCTCATCATTGATAAGTGCAACAAACAAGTAGATCCGTGCAGAAATTGGTAACCTTATAATACAGTAAAAAGGCTTGATTAAAATACATTCTAAACAATAATTCGTGTGATGTCAAAGCATTGATTGTTGAACTATTGGTATTTCTGTATTAGCTGTCAACGTCGGAGAACGTGATGTAAGCAGTAAGAATATGTATAGATTTAGTGCGTTGACGAGAAGTGGTGGGGCGTGCCGAGATTGCCTTGAAACATCAAAAGTAGCACCACTATCACCACCTCATCTTATAGGCACCTATCTTATAAGTGCTAGTCTCGACGCAATGGAGGTTCCCTTCAAATGTAGCCGATATCCGTGACCTAAATCGTACTCGAAGTGGCCGGAAGAATATTGGATATGTTATCGATCGGGTGCGGGATATTCACTTGGACATTGAGGATGACGCACTTGATTCGATACTTCCTGGTAGCCCATAATATCCTGCCCCGTGACATGTCGGTGATCCACCGGAAGAGGTGGAGTCAGTCCACGGTACAACTGATTGTAGCAATGTCTTCTCGAAGCAATTTCTTTTCTCGAATTATATTCAGATTGTAAACACGATTGGCCTTGTCCTCCAGACACTTTAAACAATGATTTATCGCCTATTATAGCTGCTGCTTTATACACTTGTTCAGTACACGCCATAGAATCATTTACACTCGACACCTCTGGCAGAAAATCATCATGAGTGGTACTGAAGGTAGGACTTGAGTGGCCTGTTAAACATCATGGGAACGAATATATTAGACAAGTACGTTAAGAATGCGAATACCACCTACCTGTGACGCCTGTTGCTAGATTAGCCACTGTCCTTCGCTCCAGTAGTGGACATACATAGCATCGACTTTCTACTTCTATTCGACACGTCAGGTCGCATGTTGCCATCAACCTCGGACTGCTTGGGGGACGTAATTGAGCAGTCGTTGTCTTGCTGACGATTCTCCATCCAGAAATCTGAAACCAGTAGCTTTATAAGTCGCGATAGGATCAAATGAAGGTAAACAGTAAGCTTTGCTGCACGTACCTAGCTCAAACCTGTATGTCGTCAGTGCTGCACCTTGGATCGAACCTGTATTACTTTAGTGTAGCCCCTTGGATCGTACTTGACTTACGTCAGTGCAGCATCTTGGATCGAACTTGTCATACGTCAGTGCCGTAGTTTAGCTTGTATTTCTTGGTGTTTGTTTCCAAACGCTAAGACGTAACGTTTTGTACTAGTGTGTGGGGGACCCTTCATTTATACATATTCATATATAGATCTATATTTTAATATCATATATTTTTATTGATCGCAAGACGCAAGGCTATGTACCGCTGTCGTTTTGCCATCTGTCAAGACGAGCACAACTTACGACCCAAAAATAACTGATTATATGTCTTTGTGAAGTTGGGGATAGACTTGGGGACAGGTAGTCTTTCAGTTAAGGATGTTTAACCCGTCCCACGAATGCTGTCAAAAGAGCTGGCCTCAGTTGGCGTAGAAGGGGATCATGGGTGCAGAAGGGCAGCGGGAAGCCAGGTGTGGCAGCTTCTCATGTCCGCTCTCGCATATGACATCCGAGCTAAACACACCGTTATATCAGCCGCTTATCTTTCTGTATGCTTAAGCAAGTGACCAGCCGTCGCGGCTATAAAGCCATGCACGGTAAGTCGTATCGCATCGGCTGCGGGGATTTCTGTCCACTTCGTCTCGCAGCTCAGCATACAAACACGCGGGAATTTTATGAGGTCCGGAACCCTGGTCTGAAGCCAGGCGTGACGGTGAGCGCGACATAAACCAGTCTACAGCAATGAGCGACTGCGTCGATTCTTTCTGATTCTGATTTTACCTGTCTCGCCACGCCGTCTCGCGTGTCAGCACACTCGTGTCGACTTAACTCTACATGGGCCGCATCTATTGCTATGTTCGTTTCGACTGCGAGCCTCTCCGCCCGTAAGAAGAGTCCTGACTCGTAAAGACTCGTGTCTGTGGCAACAATAAGAAACAGAGACATTAGTGATGATGATGATTGGGATAGGAAGATGTGACGGCTTACGACAGCAAAACTCATCGCGACACATCCCATGTCGGAAAGCGGTCGTAGCCATCGACGAAGAAGTAATAATTGCATGTCGTCTGAATGTAGTGAGGATCAAAAGAAACGGTTCTTGTCGCTAGACGCTTACAATTGATCACAAAAGGCACGTCTGCTGAAGATGGGAGATGCTGCCGGCTGACTGCAGCATAAAGGGCTGCAGCGCGAAGGACTGCCCCGCTTCGTAGTGCAGGAAGCACAAAGCTTGTGACCTGCAACTGGTGCGACTCTGGCACATTCGACTGGAGCAGTTCACCGAACAGCTGTGACATCTATATGAAGCTTATGCCTTGTAAATCGCTCGTGATAGCATCGGTAGCCATAACACAAAGCTGTGCAAGCAAGGCTCCTATAACCCTGCATCGACGTTACAATCTGCTGTTGGAAATGTCATGCCATACTTGCAGTCGTTGCGATATTAACCATGACGTGTCAATCATGACGCGACAATCAGCCCACAACGATGTTCGCACGTGATGTGCAGTAGAAGACAATCGAAGCGGCGCCAATCCAGAAGCAGGTCTTTTCCGATCGAAAAAGTCTGTTCTTTCAGATTAAGCGCAGTCGGGACATTCACAGCTGTTGCTGGTAAATTCAGCTGAGTTTGCATTAGATCTCATCACTTCCTCATCATGGCATTACTTTGTGGGCAATCCACTTACATTATTATGAAAACGCTAGTTACTGGTCAGGCGCGGCATTATATATAAAGCTGTTGCGAGCTTTTCGAACTCCAGATTACCCCTGATCCGAATGTTGTCAATGCACCCGGCCAGACATATTCCCGCAAAATTCACTGTAGTATATTGTCGTACAACGAAGACACAGATGCCTGCTATCATTGATATACTACCACGTATATCAATTTTATTGCCTCTCTTATTTCCATAAGAAAAGTTTGTTTATCTTATTGATCGACAAACATTAATAACAAATATAAGGAGCGTTGACGCGTCAAGCGCAATTTGACAGAATAATTTCTTCTTTGATCGGTTGTAGGGACCCGCTGCTTGTTTATCTTCACTTCATCCCTTTTGGCGTAATAATGCATTAATGTGGAGCTTTCGCCTGTGCGGCAATGCTAAATTTACATCGGATAAGATGGGTGAGTGTCAAAAAAATAATGTCGCTATTCTATGACGTATGGGAATGACCTTAGGCCATACGACGACAAATATACGATTATAGCAGACGTTGACTTAAGAGCTGACGCGCACTTCTTGATGTTGCAAGTGGTATCGCGGATATATGCGGGTATACAAAAGA